CGAAAACCTCTGGGCCATACTCGACCAGCAAGTCAAGAAACAACAAAAAAAAACCAACTTCGAAAAGCGATCTTCTCCAAATTTTGAAACAAGAGAGGGCGAAAATCCCACAATCTATAATTGACGATATCAACGAACTCCACGAAGCGAAAGGAAGATCTACGAGATATTAATTAATTATAGATATATCAATTCATGTGAATATGACTGAAAAATTTATTTTTTTCTGAAAAGATGGTGTCTATTTACTTGTGACCACGCTGTGTATTTTTGGAAATATCTTTACACATTAAAAACAAAATCCTCTGTGAATTTTTAATTCTCAACTCATTTGGAAAGAATAGAAAAATAATTAATGCATTCTAACCTTTGTTTAGCATCGATCATTTTAGCAAGTAGTTTCACTTCCATCTGGAGATCGCCCACATAAAGTTCAAAATCCTTCAACAATAACGCTTGCAAATCCTAAAGTAATACGAGAAAAAAAAACTGACTGTTACATTAAATTTGAACGGTACCGAGACTTTGTTACTGCTTTGTGCAACAGTGTTAACATTGAGAATGTAACTGTATTTTTTGTTTTAATTCTCCTAAACAAAAAATAATCAAAATCAGAATCTTTCTTCACTGCAGATGTTCTTGTATTTTCTTTTGTTTTTTCTTACAATACCCGAAAGTAGTTTATCGGTAACGATATAATTAACATGACTTTTAGGAAAATACAAACTTCAGTGAAATGTGATTCTGATCAGTTTTATGAACCCTCAAAGACCTTATTGCTTCTCCAGATTAGGCTTTTATGAAGCCTCAAAAGCCTCGTTGTTTCTCCAGATTAGGCCTTTAACACCATTTCATTTATGGAATAACTAATATTTTGTCAAATGCTATTGTTTGTTGTTAAGCATAAAGTTACACAATGGGCTAGCTGTGTTGTGCCGACCACGGGTATCGAAACTCAGTTTCTAGTGTTATAAGCCTTCAGACTTATCGCTGAGCCACTGAGGATAGGGCATTTTCAAATAAACATATTATTATAAATATATATATATATATATTTATCACAATTTCCTCTCCATGATTTGAATTTCAACATAAAGATGTATATATTCATATAATTTTGAAGCGGCTTGATATATGGTACATTAAAATATTGTTAACTTTCTATTAAATGCACACTTACGTCTAAAAAGCTACAAATAATAGGATCTTCGAAGAAAGCTTCTCGTACAACAATGGCCCAAGTATGAACAAACTGTACTGCTCGTCGTTTATTGGCAACAATAAATTCCTTCTCATGGCGGGAATTAGCAGAGTCTACTTTATAAGTTGATCTGTTAAGGAGGATTAACGAGTAATGGACATATCAAATAACGTAATATAATTATTGTAACCTGCATATAAAATAGGTAACAGATGTTTAAGACACGGCATTGGAATATCACTCTGCTATTAAGGTTGTAGAGTACGCAGTTATTAATTGCTACGTTTACAATGCTAGTTAAAAGTCACCTAGCCTTCCTTCCATTCAAACCAAAGGAACGTTTGTTAACATAAGCGTAAAGCTGCACTGCCTATCTCAGGGATTGAAACCCGAATTTTAGCGATTTACACTCTTAAGCTTACCAATGAGCCAATAGGAGGCCAAAAGGAATTACAAAAGACACATATAATTTGATTTTGTAAAACAACAAACTACGCAACTTAAAAAACGCCCTAAAAGTGGAACACAAGGAAATGGTAGTATGTCATTTGAATAGACAAATATTTTTTCGAAATAGTCAAAAATGAATGAAGTACGCAATACTAATATTATTAGCACAATACAGTTTCTGCATCAGAACTGAAGAACACAACGCAATTTGGACTTGGGGGTAAACAGTGGCGATTCGATGATATTTTAGGTGGTTATGTCCTTTATGGCTCTACAATGATGTATCTAGGATATTCTAGGTAGTTACGCCCTTTGTGGCTCTTCACTGATGTATCTAGGATAATTTAGGTGGTTATTATACCCTTTGTGGCTCTTCATCGATGCATCTAGGATAATTTAGGTGGTTATTATACCCTTTGTGGTTCTTCATCGATGTATCTAGGATATTTTAGGTGGCTATTATACCCTTTGTGGCTCTTCATCGATGCATCTAGGATAATTTAGGTGGTTATTATACCCTTTGTGGCTCTTCATCGATGCATCTAGGATAATTTAGGTGGTTATTATACCCTTTGTGGCTCTTCATCGATGCATCTAGGATAATTTAGGTGGTTATTATACCCTTTGTGGCTCTTCATCGATGCATCTAGGATAATTTAGGTGGTTATTATACCCTTTGTGGTTCTTCCTTGATGTATCTAGGATAATTTAGGTGGTTATTATACCCTTTGTGGTTCTTCATTGATGTATAAGTTCAATAAGAAGTTCCAATACTAGCATTAATTATGTTGTTGTTGTTTTTCATTTATATTTATCTATAAAATATCAGAAATATATTAAAGACGCCTGCAAAATATGAATGACAATCGACAAGAATACGAACTTGTTTATTAATATAATATGCTAGTAAACAAGGAGCATAACTTTCCCTTAGGTACATCAACATGACTATCATCGCTGGCTATAGGGCAACCAATAGCCGCTAGGTGAAATAAAGCGCTGCTTTATCAGTTTGAACTCTTACTAACTGTTCTGTAAGTGTTTGTTTGTTTGTTAGTAATTAAGCGCAAAGCTACACAATGGGCTATCTGTGTTCTGCCCACCATGGGCATCGAAACCCGGTTTCTAGCTTTGCAAGTCCACAGGCATACCGCTGTGACACTGGGGGCGCTGCTTTATCACGCACACACATAAAAAGTGAGAGCCATTACGTGAAGAGTTAGCATGCAATTAGGGTTATGAAACACAGCAAATCTGATAGAAAAGAACTGATGAACAAAAGCATCAATGTGACAGCATATTAACCCCAAAGTTTTTATTAAGAAAGTTCGTCCAAAAACAATATTTTCAAAGACAGAAAGTAGTAAACATCGTAACAAAAATAGTTAGTCACACCATACATGGCAAGACTGACCACCAAAGTTAAGTTGCTTTGCCTCTGAACTTAGATACAGCCCAGACTGATTCCAGCCTTTAAATATAACCGATTTTGATACCAAGTATTTAGCAATAATCTGTTTTGATTTCAGTCTTTAGGCACAACTGGGTTTAAATCAAGTCTATAAGAATAAGCGGGTTTGACTCCAGTCCTTTGGTATAAATATGTTTCCTTCCAGAGTAAGTATAACCAAGTTTGATCCCAACCATTAGGGATAACCAGATTTTGATCCACTCTTTAATTATAATGTGGTTTAATTCCAAACTTTTGGCATGAACAGGCTTCATTCCAATTTTTTTTGGGGGTGGGGGGTATATTTAGGTTTGGTTCCGTCCTTTACATAAAACTCGACTTAACTTCAACTTTTATGCAAAACAAAATTTGATTTTAGACTTTTGGTCTTTTAAGATTTCATTCCCATCTTTAGGAATAGCCGGGTTTGATTCCAACACAAATCTCCAGACGGGTGGTTTTGTTTCTTTTTTCTTAAATTTAGTGCAAAGTTACTCAAGGGTTGTTTACTTAATTTAGAAGAGATAGACTAGAGGGAAGGCAGTTAGTCAACACCACTCACTGCCGACTATTGAGCTACTCTTTACCAACGAAAAGTGGAATTGACCGTTATTTTATAACGCCCAAACGGCTGAAAGGGTGACGGGATTCGAACCCGCAGATTGCGAGTCCAGGGCCCAATTCGTGCCAGTCGGTAGTTTGGCTTCTTTCCTTTTGTAACAGTTTATTTTTCGATGTTGTTTTGTAGCCTTCCAAAATCTTGTGCTAAAACTAGCTATGTTTTTATTTAGAAGTATATAATTTTTCGAAATATTTTTTTAATAGCAATTATACGAAGTTAGGTTTCCAAGAATAATTAGAAACTTGTCCCTTATGAAGAAAATAAATTTTCGTATTGACTGAACATGTTTGGAAATACAACTTAAAAGGCAGAAACTCCTACTCGGCATTCGTGTATGTATAGTTAGAAGAATAAAGTATTTTGTAGTTTACATTAGATTAGTTTGCCCAGTATGTCACTTAAAATGTCTCAATAATTATAATTAGCAAATCTTTATTGTTTTGAGGTTTAATTCCTTTGCTGAAAGATACAATTAAAAATTGTTTTTACTGTAACAAAGAGATAAAAGACGTTTTTCAGTTAAATCAAATGCTGGGTGAGGTAGGTGATTAGCATGCTCAGACTGTGAATCCGAAGATCGATCTTCCCTTACGGCCAAAATGCTCTCCACTCTTTGGACCCGTGGGTCATTAGAACAGTGACAGCCAAAATTGAAGTACCAACGTAACGATTATATTTCTAAACTTACAGCATTATAAGGAGACAATACAAACTAAATAAACTTACATTTTCCTAATTTCCGTCAGCTTTATAATAATTTCCGGGAAAAGCAGGCTTTCTAATCATGAAAATAATTACCTTCTTTGGTTTTTTTCATTATTTTATTGTTAAAGGTTATCCACATCAACATTTTTTTGTAAACATATCTTCATTTAAATAGTGTATTGTCAATGAAATTGATAATCAACAAACAATTCGAAACAACAGATCAGACCAGCACTGACTTCGTGAACGACAATATATACATAACTTGTATCTTCATACATGACAAACAAAAGTACCCGTCCCCAGTGAAGGAAAAAGTTTAAGTTAATCTAACAATATAAATTATTTTCATGGTCTTTAAAAAAGTTAATTATGTTGCATTCTTGGTTTCACTCAGAGCCAAAGTTCTAAGCTACTTATACCACCCACTGCGAAAAGTAATTGTTGAACGTTTAACTTTTATTCTTATAAATTACATTAACTTGTTATTATAACATCTCAAAATAATTCTTCCAAAATCGTTCCAACACCAAAACGTAACACACGTGTTAACTGTAGGATTTCTCAATGGAAGGAAACGAATTTATCGCCAAATAAATTTTTTGTAAGATCTAATAGCAGTTTTAGTACCCTATTGTTTTCAGGGTCCTAAGGTTCATAATAACGCGTATATGTATGTAACTAACAAGTCAATAAATTTTGACAAAGCACAACGAAAACGATTTACCGTACAAATGTGGACGTTATAAAATACGTAATATATAACTTCCATATGATATGCAATCCAGTTTAAATCACGAATTCTCTATAACTTATGGTGGCCATAATTGTGGTCTCAAACCAAAATACTGCACAATAAAGATACAATTGATTAAACAATTCCAACCATGCAAAAATTCACATTAAAACATTAAGACATCCTCCTAAAAATGAACCCGGTTCGTTTTTCAGTCGACTGAAAAGAATTGTTTGATAAACTTTGCAATTCCCGAGTTCTACATAGTGTTATAAATCTTGAGACTGTAGTCAAACATATTTTGTACATGTATAGAAACGTTCATTTGGCTTCAACATCTTAGCATTCTGCAACATATTTACAGGGTGGTCTAAAAAAATAGTTGCATCACACTTTAATCTGCTCCGAGTAAATAAAACTTGGCTTGCAGCACCAAAGATGTTTAACTCTCTGTGTGAATTGTGGGTACTGCCTACATAATACTCTTACATTAATCTAATAAAAGATAAAAAAAATAATAATATAGCTATCTGGGGGTAACAATACTGCGTTACCCTGTATTTACGTATAGATCCAAGTAGGCTGGAAACAGTTATTTCTAATCTCGAAACAGGATCATTTGTATTACCAACTATATAAATATCACAATTAAAATTCATAATTTAAGGGTTTGAATAGTAAGTTTCTGTCAAATATAATATTAACAACTTAACAATCCAAGGTCCTATATGGTACTTTTATTGCGTTTGCAGTATAGTTTAGCAGACATAGTGACAACAGAACTGAGCTGATTAATAGGGTAGTGCATATTTTATATTTCTTAAAAAAATATTTTTGATAAGTTTTAATTTTAAACAAATTTCTTTTAATTTGTGGAATAAGAAAATGTACACCTTGAAACATGTCTTGTTTCCGCTTAGAAGCTCAGTAAAAACTGTTGCCTCAGAACGATTAATATTATTAAGGAAGGTGAACTATTTGCAAACGATGACTTTTCTTACATATGCATTTTATATTTTAACAACATAAGCACTGAGAATGAAGCTGCATTTTTTGTGATTCGCTTTTTGGAGATCGTGACATTTCGCAGAACCTTAAAGTATTTTGGAAGTTCAGTAAGACAGAAACGAGAAAAATCGAAAAATTTATGTTGATGTGGCACAGACTAATTGGTTGAATTGCAGCCAATCACAGCACAAACTATCTGCATGTGATTCTATTCTGAGACAGTTCATGTTTCTGCAGTAAAGAAGGAATAATTCCATAATAACAAAATATTTCTCCCTCCAGATATTAAGCTTTAAGGCAAAAGCATAAACAAAATTTATCTCCAAGGTAGAGTGAATGTACGCAGGAAAACTAAATCAGCTTTCTGGAAATATTCTAAAATAGCCATTGTTATAAATACTTAATAAAATACTTCAGTCATTATATACAGACTTATTTTTCATAGGAATGCCATTAAAAATAAATAAAGATTACCTAAAACAATCTGATCAGTTGTCATATATTGAATTGTCTTCAAGACAGAAAGAAAAGTTAATAAAAAATTAATAGCCACTAGATGGCAGCACTTTTCTCCAAATAATAATGGAAGAATGTTTACAGTGTATAGTCTAAAGAAGATATTTCTTTAAAACTCTGCGTGTAAACTAAATAAACAATGTTTATAATCGTTGTTGTTTGAAATTATATACCAGTTACCTCCATTGTCAGTATCTCTCATTAAAAAAGTCACCGTTTTTCTGCTTTGTAATTCCTAATCCAAACTTGCCAAGAAAAGCCAGCAGTATTATCAACACAATTTACATTACACTTTCACTGTAATTATTACTGAACAATATTAGATATGTAAAAACACAAAAACAAAAAAGCTTTATATGTGATGCAACATACAATGGAAACCATGACAACAATAGCTTATTTACAGACCTTTCCAAGTGCAGTATTTTTTAATCACAATAAAATGTTGTTTAACTTACTCTGCCAATCAGTCACGATTCTGCATCATATTTCCGCCAGATCACTGATTTTAGCCTTAATATTACACTTGAATATGTCAGTATACAGTGCAAGTAAACAAGATATAAAGTAAATCATACTTAATATGTAATTAGATTGTAGTCTAAACTCTACATGTACTTATTGTAGTGTCAACACAAAACCATCTACAAGTACTTATTGTGGTGTCATATACAAAACCATCTACAAGTATTTATTTTTTTGTTACTCGACATCCACATCTCCTTTTCTATATCACTGTTAAGATATATTAAAGTCACGTTTATTATAAGCTTTTATTTTGCTTAAATCTCATTATTATTTATATCTAAATCGTTATTGCTGTTATTAGTAGTTAAGAGGCTACCAGGAAGAGTTATTGTATCACCCATGCACATGTGGCTTTACGCGACTCTCAACGACGCTATGACTTTTTTTTACACCATTTAATAACAAACAGCGTACCTAGTGGAACGTTTTGCTGATGTAGCGCCGCCTAGCGCCGTGTTATGCGGTTTTCCCTCTAAATTACAGTCATTCTTACCATTGCCACTTAATCCTACATAAAATAGCATTGCCGATCATCAACTACCCCAAACGTCACGATAAATCGATGTTTTGTGTGACATTAAATTACAATAAAACTAATAATAAGTATTAATGAATCTGGTTCTGGATAGATTTCTAGTAAGAAGAATGTAATAGCACTTTTGCTCTTTACGCCGCTGCCTACGAAACCTTTACCTTTTCTTTCTTTATCCCCACAACAATGACACACTAAAATATTGTTCTATGTTAATTTATTTTTTAATAATAACATTCAAGCAGAATAAAGGATATTGTTTCATAAGTTCCGGACACAACTGATGACTAGGCATGAATATGACGTGGGTTAGCAAGAAGTCCTCCAGGAATGTGTCCTTTGAATACGTTAATGGACCTGGAACCGAAAACCAAACAAATACTAAAACATTACACTATAACAACCCTTATACATTTTTTTATTCATACCCTCATTAAGTAAGGACGTTTGAAGCTTTAAACTACCTATTTGGTTAGAGTAACCAAAATATTAGCTCACTGATCGTTTTTCTAAGATGCGTTATTGAAGGAAACGATACTTAGTTGCATGAATTCAATGTTTGTTTTTGGAATTTCGCG